TAGGTAAGACACTCTCCTTCCTTACTGACACAGGGGCTGTTTGCAGTATTCTTCCTGAGTTCATTTGGTTCCTGTACCCAATCCATGATCTCCGCTGTAGGTGTTGAGGGAAAACCTGTACAACCCCTCTAAACAGGACCCATGCCCTCCTGATCCCAAACCTTTCTTCACCCAAAATTTACTTATACTTCCAAACTGACCAGCACCCCTATTAGGCAGAGATATCCTCCAAAAGTTCAGCTTCTGTTTCACTTCCTCCCTTCTCACTGCCCACTTTTTTGACTCAATCACCCTGTGCTGTCAGTACCACACAACTTCTTCCCCCTCCCTTATCAATCCTATAGTTTGGGATACCACCAGCCCATGCCGCTACATGCTATTGATGTCACTCCTGAGCTAATTCATCAGAGTCCCTTCAAACTTTCTGTGCATTCCCCAATATCCAATAGCCCCCAAACAACCACAGGGATTCAAACCTGTGATCTCACACCTATTAACCCATGGTTTCTTTAGCCAAAACACACAGTCAGCATTCTTCATTCCCAAGCTGCCATCTGGCAGAAAAGAAGCTTGATCAGTACTCAAGGAATCCCCATCACTAGTGTACCCCTCATCCTCAAACTACTAGAGGCAGCAAAACTCTTAAAACAGGTAGCAGTCATTCCCTGCAGGGGACACCAAACATTGTCAGATCCTGTTTCTCAGGGTAATATCTTTGCTGGCACACAGGCCAAGTTGAATGCACCATAGACATATATCCTTCTCATCTTCTCTCCCTTATCCCAAATATCCTGCTACCACCTCAATATTCACCTGCACACCTACAATTAATCCATAAATCTGCCTATTTAAACTTCTCACTCTGATCACTACCCACCCCTCTTTACAAACCCTCATGTGCCAACCCACGCACAATTGCCATCTCTGTGCCAAGACCTCTCCTCGGGGATATTTACCTCCTTCCTCTTTCCCAATTCACCAACTTTCTGGACACACTCCAGGCAAAGATTGGAAGATAGATTTTACACCCCTCCCTCATCATAAGACCTCCAAATATCTTCTTTCCTTTGTCTGCACTTTCTTGGGGTGGATAGAAGCCTTCCCAATGTCTCAGAGACTGGAGACATAAGTTATTAAAATTCGTATACAAGAGAGTATCTGCCATTGGCTTACCTCAAACTACCCAAACAGACAACAGATCACCTTTCCTCATTCAGATTACTTGACAGTTATCCTTGAAACTAAACATCAATCAGAATCTACACACACCATACCAACCACAATCCTCATGAAAAGCAGAAAAAGCAAACAGTCTTCTAAAGCCACACCTGGCAAAACTCATCCTAGAACTACATCTACCTTGGCCTGAACCTTTTCCCTTAGCACTAATCTGTCTTCAGAGTTGCCACTTCCTTCAGTGTCCACTCTTCTGAGTCCTTTTGAGCTCATGTATGGGTAGCCTCTTCCTGCTTCACAACTTACCTGTCCCATGGAACCTTGCCTGTTTTGCTGATTGTACCCCAATCCTCTCCATTTTTAGACATCTTTTATGACAATATGCCCATCTATGTCTCCCTCTACCAAAAGATAAACCAAAACCAGAACATTCTATAACTCCTGGAGACTTAATATATCTCAAATCCTCTAAAACCACAAGACTTCAACCAAAGTGCATGGGACCTTACCTGGTCAACCTCATGACACCAAGAGTGGGTAAGGTTGCCAGTCTTCCAACAGTGCTCAAGACTGCCAATCTCTCATCTTGGATTCACATCACCCATGTTAAGTGTTGCCCTGACAGTGCTAACCCCAAACCTCCATCCCCAGACTGGTCATCGCACCTTCTGTTCCCCACCCATCTTCAGCTCATGTGATTCTAAATCACAGTATTCTGTGACTCAATACCCTCTTTGCTGTTTTTGTACCACTGGTCTTTGTATTTGCTGAGGCACTTTGGACAGCCTCCCCTAGTGACACCAAGATGACCATAACCCTTCTCTTCCTTGCTAGATTCTTGCATAACCACTGTCCATTGTCTAAAATTATCATGATGGCAAGGGTATTAGCCTTAATATGCCCCTCCTTTCTAACCTTTATACAAATTTCACAGACTTTCTCATGGACCCTTCCCTTTCCTTTCCAAACCATTAGGGACAATTTTCCAGTTCACAAGATTATTAGAAATATAAACTCTTGATTTATGCAAAACGGCCTCTCTTATTGTGAACTGTGCTAGGAGATAAAGGAAAATACCTCACCATGGCCAGCGTCCTCACTGACTAAAAACCTCCTCCTCTAGTCCAAAACATTTTTAGTGCTCCAAATGGGACTGCAAGACTATTGGGGTCAGGGGCCCAAGTCCTACAAATGTTTGGAAATAACAGGACCCTTGGATCAACTTTTCTTGACACTTTGATCTGCAACACACTAGGTTCCTATAACCCTGTTACTTTAATGATTAGGCAATCCTCTTGGCTGATAGACCACACCTGGAGGATGAGACCCTGTAGTAGGGGAACAGACCTGGGAGTTAACTTGAATATAAAAATGATCCCAAACCAAACAAGATACCCATTCTTAACATCCCCACCTTTAGCTTACCTCTGCCCCTTCCCTCACTATACTTTACACCTCCACTATTCCTCAATCACTAAATCACACATATGCCCTTATATGGTCTTCACTTCACACAGACTGGACCCAATGCTGGTTCTGTCTCCCACTCAACCAAAACCTGTGGCTTGCCCCAGGGGTTCTTTGTTCTTGGGATGGCCATGCCACAGCCCTACACATGTGATCCATTTCCAACTTCAACAGCTTGTCGACACCCTGTAAATGTGTACAGCTGCTCCTTCTAGGTCAAACCTAGGAGGGACCTGGGATGCAGCAGGACACAGCATCTGTGCACCAGGGCATTTGCATAGCATGTGTGAATCCTGGGTTCCTTCCTGACCACCTGAAAGGGAGATTACCAAGTGCTGAGAAGGTGCTAGCCACACTGCCATACCAATCCCAGGATGACCCTTTCTCCTCGTGCAGTCAGAGCTGGGAGAGTTCAGGGTGAGATCTTCCTGAGGTTGCATAGGAGAATGTATGCAAGTGAACTGCAGTTCCCTTGGCTACTGTGCAAAAGATCTCCTGTTCCTTCCATGCCTTCTGGGTGCTGGGCACATGGCAACTGGGTAGCTGCACATCTGCAGGTGCACAGGTAAGCTGCTTGTCAGGTATTGTGGCGGTGGGGTCATGAGGTAGTCAGTGATGTGATACATGCCAACCAGGGGTTGTTTGCATACATCGGGGCTCCTGAGCCAGGCAGGACAAGGGGTTGGCCAAGGAAGGCCCCTGGAGGAACTAACTGCTGGATCCATGTTCTTTGAGAGAGTTTGCTTACCAGGCAGAGATGGAGAGGGGAGACCCAGAGGAAGGAGGATGGCAACAGCACAGACCGGAGGGAGGCCAGTGTGACGTGTGGTGCATGTCTGTGTGGCTGCTGGGGTGAAGGGAGAAAGCCATGGTGCACAGGAGATACTGGAACACAGAGTCCTGAGAATAAGGGCAGCTCTGAGAGATGACGTGGGACAGATGAGAATGCAGGCTGCTAAGTGACTTGGAATACAAGGGGCAAGACAGGACACACAGGGACCTAAGAGGAGGCTTCTGGGGTCATCCAGGTGAGAGGTGGTGGAACTGGCCTAGGATAAGCAGGGGGGCAGGTCTTGGAGAGGTCAAGGAATCTGATGGGGACCCAGGCCACCTGGGATCGTCATGTTAAAAAGCCTGAGTGTTCACCTTTCTCTTTCCTATTTAGGTGCATTCTGATTGCAGGAAGCTACACCAGATTCCCCCACTTTATCCTTGCACTCAAAACCTAGACCAACCCAGTAGCCAGCAATGTCTGCTCCAGCTTACACATGGAATCGGACAGTGTCCCCAGGTTCAGTTTAGGGCCTCTTCCCACCTAAGGTGCAATGGCCGGTGGGGGTCCATGGCATCAGCAGGGGTGCTGGCACTCTGGTGGGGTAGAGGTAGGGTGGGGGTCCTTGGAAAACCCAGAACCACTGTGTGTGCTGAATGGACGTCTGAGGGGCTGGCAGATGATTTTACTCACAGGCATGGTGCCTCAAGATTGGTGGGCCACTCACTCTCCAGAGGGGATCTGCAGAGTCCCTGGGTGGGGTGCACAGGCCTTCTATCTGCTCTCTAGGCATGGGGCTGGCTTCCCTTGCCCTCAGTGAGCTGGCAAGAATGCTGCAGGAATGCAGCATCCCTGCGTTTGGAGGAGGAGTGATAGAGGGAAGGGCTGGTACACCAAGAGTCTGTCCCAGGAGCCCAGCCACCACGCTGTGTGTCCTGCACTGAGTCTATTTGACATGTGTTCTCACACTGGCTGCTCTCCAGAAGGACGGCAGAAATGTGTGGATCTGCTGCATGGCTCTGCTCCCTGCTTTGAGTGATTTACATGTTGGGTGTGTTCTAGAGGGATCACCTTTTCTGATTTGGGGTGTAAGAGTATCTGCAGCTCAGTGACTCTTCTCTGAGCAGCTCTGATGTGACTCTTCTATGCAGTTAGGTGGGGTCTCCGTTTTCATTATTTTTATTCATCAGTTCACTAATCTTTTCTTTGGGCTTATTCTTTCTTTTCTGTTTGTTTTTTGAGACAGGGTTTTGCTCTGTAATTTAAACTAGCCTTGAACTCACTATGTACCCAAGGCTGGCCTTGAACTCACAGCAATCCTCCTGCCTGAACCTCCAGAGTGCTAGGATGATATGCATGTGCCACCACATACAGCTTTGGCCCTATCCTTTCTCTAAAGTTATACATATTTCTTAGGGCATGATTCTCAGATCTAGGACTTCTATTTGGTTCTTCTTTACACTTTGCACTTTCTGCTTTGATTCTCACAATCTTTCTTTTATTATTTTATCTTTGAGCATATTTATAATAAATATTTTTCAATGCTCTAGATTTTTTCAGTATCTGAGCAATCTTTTCCTCTCTCTTTAATCTTGCTTCTTTGCTCTTTATTTCCAGTTACCCCAAGGATTTCACAAGGGGCCACATCTGCAGCCCATTTTAAATTCTTGATTGTGAGACAGGGTCTCAGGAAGTCACTAAATTGCAAGGCTAGGCATGAACTTTCAATCCTCTCCCTCAGCTACTGTGACACTGATGGTAGGATGGGAACTTGGTTGCTTAGGTGATCTCACGGAAGGGGTTACCAGAAGGAGGAACACACCTCTGGGTATATCTGGGTAGATCCTGATGAGTGGGTCTAGGGGTCTGTGGTCCCGGTCCTGTCTTCTGTTGTGATTTTCCGCAGCTCTGCTTCCCAGTCACCTTGAAACCAGCACCTTTGCTCTGTCGCACCCCTTTGTCATGATGGTTTTGTGAGCCAGCGAGTCATGGACTGAGTCCTCAGAACGTGAGCTCCCAATGAAATATTTCCTTCCTTAAACTGTGGGGGTCAGTACTGTGTCTCAGTGTCTTGGTTACTTTTTTCTTGTTGCTGGGACAAAACACCCAACACCCTGTAATGAAGGAAGGAAAGGTTCATTTGTCTGGTTGTGGAGGTTTCAGACCAAAATCAGTTAACTCCAGGGCAAGGAGGGTAGCAGGGCACCAGGGATATGCTTCCAGGCAGCAGTCAGCAAAAGCAGCCAGCGTAAAAAGCCAGGAAACGAGACTCTTTACCTCCCCTATACTGCACACAGACCACCCCCACTCTAGGTTGGGTGTAGCGCTCACACCCTCTCCAGGCTCTGCTCTTACCCAGGCTCAGAACATTTACAAATATGCTGGCTCCCTGCAGAGTCTCTTAGGCAACCTTCTTCTGAACTTCTCAAACTGACACAGTATATCCACCATAACACACAGAGGTGAGAAAGCTAATTATTCAGCCTCCCTAAGTGCCACAGGTGTGTGCCGCCATGCCCTGTTGTTTTGGGGGTTTTTCCACTTGACTTTGTTAGGGCTGGGGATCAAATTTAGGGCCTTGAGCACTGTAGGCAAGTGCTCTACTCGTGAACTGCCTCTGCACCCTGCTTCAAAGTTTCTGTGCACTTCTCCGTTAATGTCCATGGAGGATTGCTTCCAGTACACACACATCCATCCAGCCAAAACTACCCAAATGTAGATGCTCTCTTCCCTTATACAAAACGATGCACTGTGTGCTGCCCCCATACACTTTCAATCCTCACTAGATTATTATAATGCCTGAACCAATGCAAATGCTAGGGAAGTAGTTGTTATTCCACATTTTAGGAGGATAAAAAGGAAAGGAATTTGGTCATGGTCAGTTCAGGCACACTTTTTCCCCAAATATATATGGTCTGCTTAGAGTTGCATCCACATGTTTTGAAACCCCAGACATGAAGGGGCTACTATATGTAGAAAAACTGGTGATTGAGGAGCACTGTTGTCTTTATTCCAAGACTTGGAAGGGGTTTTAAAAAAAGCACAGAGCCTGAGGCAGCCCACTCAGAGATGGGTGTGCAGGAGTGCAGGAGAGAGAATTAGGAAGAACTCCTGCATCTGGGGACAGCTCCAGCCCATCTCACCAGACCAGCCAGGACAGCCATCCCCCTCCATCAAGCCTCACCTTGCCCCTGTGCCTCTGAATACCCTTGAACCTCTGAGGCTGTCTGTTCCTGAGGGTTGGAGGAGGTTGCAGGTGAAGCAGAGAGGGTGGAGCACAGACCTCAGCTAACAGAGCCTGGGAGGTGAGAGGAAAATTAGATGGAGAGCTGCTCCCAAGCCCTGCAGAGCTTCAGATCCTGAAAGCACCCATTCAGGGCCTGGATTGTGCCACCCAAGGATGCCTGACCTTTGTAATTTTTGTTGTCCTCTTATCCCTCTGAGTAGCACGGGTGTCCCTGGGCCCTTCTCGTCTGTCAGTGCAGTTTTGCCCCCACCATCACCTATCCCAGCCCTCATGCCCTGGCTGAGATGCTTTCTTCTGGCCCCCACCACAGGCCTCCAGGGGTTGGCTGACCAGCATCATGCACAAACATACCACACTCAGCCCCAGCTGCCACTGCCCAGGATACCCACCCCCAGTATTGTCAAGGCCATTGTCATCCTTCAGTCTTCTCAGACCTCACTCCTTAGGGCCATCTCTGAATCCTCTACCACTCTTCAACAAAGGAGCCACTCCTCAATATCCACAGCTGAAACTCAGCTTTGGTCTCTGGGGTGTCTTTGGTCCGTGCTCCCCTGGCCCTCCCCACGTGCGGTCAGAGCGTGTGTGAAGCCTGGGGCACAGCCGGTCCCTTCCATGCCTTATACCTCGGTGCCCCCACTCCTGCTTCCCCTGCAAGCTCTCTTGGCATGCTGCCTTTGGACCCCTCACTCTCCTGGATTCTTCTACTGTCACCACACTCAGTCCCATGACCCTGAGCCTCTGGGCTACTCCTACTTGAGTTATACCACCTGGCTCCTTGTCTCTGGTGAGTGAACCTCTCCCAGCTGGGTATCTCCCAATGTCACCTTCCTGCCAGGTCCTCCTTGGTCACTTTGTTTAAAATGTCCTCCTTCCCTCCCATGCACACTGCTGTTTGCTCCTTACCATCTGCCAGTGGAACGTGTCTGGAGCTCAGCTTGTCTGGGGGCCTTGGGGTTCACTGTTAGCACTGTTGGACCAACAGAAGCATGGGTGCTTGCACCGCTCCACACAGCGGGTGCTCTCTCCTGGCCTGCATGTGGAAAACCTGCAGATTGTATGAGCCAGCAGCCCCTTCCTCTAGCCTGTACCTGTGTGTCCTGTAGGGCACCCCTCCGTTCCACCTGGGTACTCTCATGCCTCCACACAGAAGGGGGCCTTGCTGGGCATGGCTGAGGCATGGAGCTGCCAGTCTCCCTTGCCTTCCTGGATTACTGCACTTAGTAGGGTACAGGCATTGGACAGGGCTCATGAGGATGAGGAAAAAGAGGAGCTACATTGTGATCCAAATATTATATATTATAATCCAAATGCTGTATGCTGTAATCCAAATATTACATATTATAATCCAAATATTATAATTACTTTTGCATTCCTCCTCACAACCCGGAAAGGTATATTTTAATTCCACTGTAACTTAATTGGCATCTCAGCAAGTTAACACCAATCTACCACCTCCAATGCAAGTATTGGTGAGAGTAAAGACACTAAGCCCTAGTCTAAGTTCTGGGCAGCCAAGGAATCCTAAGTCTGATCCAAGTGAGGATACACAGACAAAGGCCTTGATGTAAGGTCTCTCCCATGGTGTATTATCTCATGAAGAAAGCAGTGCTCCAAGGATGACTGACAGTGAGGATGGCATGAACTACATGAGTAATTTTGTTTTACATGAGTACTTTGAGCCGGCTAGCCAGGTGGGGAGAAAAGCATCTTTTCAATATGCAAGGAGAATGATATGCAGAAGGACCAGTCTGCATAACCCAATGACGGTAGCATTTGAACAGTTTTAGGAGGGTTGCTTTGGGCTCTGCTACGCAAACTGTTTTACCCTGGGAGGTCACGGACTTTTATTTAGAGGCTCATACCCAGTGGACATTGCTGGAGCTCACTGCAGTGGTTCTGCCATCCCACTGTGTTCAACTGTTTAACAGGGAACCCAGTGTGAGGAAAATGTCACTTGGCCTTAAAGATTACATATCAGTATCTTGGCTGCCCTGATTTGCCTCGCTTGGAGCCAGTTGAAGGGTGATGGACATACCATAGCCAACTCTAAACATATCAGGGCATGGCAACAAGACTCAGTTGAACTAATGCTGAAGCAATTGTTCTGCATTGAAACGGAGCTGCTAAACATGGCTCCTACAGGGATGTCTAGATAGAGCCCTAGATCTGCCCTTCCCAACTGAGAGGCACCAAGGGAACAACCTCCCTCCTCAACCACAGGCAGTTATCAGGATTGGCACAGACTTTTCAGGAGCATGCAGACTGTCCCAGGGACCATTTCATCCTGCCATACCTGTACCAGCCAGCACCATGACCTGCAATCAGAAGGAAGAAGCCTGGAAACAAGGCCAGGAGAAAACACTGCAGACACTCAGGTGGCTGAGCCGTGGGAAGTGTGGATAGGAGGGCGCGTTCTTTCATAATTCACACTCTACTCGGTTTCAGAGTGCATCCCATGAAAGTATATTCCTCTTATGATGGAAACAATAACTTCCTTCTGTGCTCTCCAGGCACTAAGCTCTGTTTGTTCAGTATTTGCAGTGGATGTGGGAGATGGCAGGGGCCTGGCACACCACAGTGGAGCAGGAGTTTTCTGCCTCTTTTCTGCAGAGACTAAGGGAGCAGAGCCCCTGGCAGCCTCCGAGGCCAGGCATCCCAGACCCTGCTCCCCAGAAGCCAGCCCCTCCCCATCTGGATCCATGTGCTTACCTGTGTCCACATCTGCTATGCTCTGCCACTTGGATGGTGGGGGCCAGGGCTTTGCCTGGGGATGTGACCTGAGAGAGAGGGCCTGACTGTTGCAGACCCCTCCCTGGCACCCCAGCTGACCACGGGCCTGGGTCAGGTGGGCTCCGCTCTGTCACCACAATGTTTTTCTTCTGGTCTAACCTGTTCCAGCCTCAGAGGTTTGAGATCACTGAGAACGGTAGCTCGGACCAAGTCAGATCTCCTATGGCCTGTGTGGCCATTGGATGCTGATTCACATGAATGCTTTCCTCTGGGGGCACAGGGGTTACTGTCACTGGCATCAGGCATGGGAGGCTCATGTCGGGTAGTATGGGGCATGTGTGTGTCACGGTACCTCCACATAGTCTGGAGAAAATCTTGCGTAGGTTTCCCAAAACCATCCGAAGAGCTTGTCAGGGACATCCTTCAGACTGCACGTGGACAATGAGCTTCTGGCGGGTCAGAGCATCGCCTACCCCAGTCCTCTTATCTGGTTCTTCTTCCTACAATTTGGTCTGTGCCACCTCTGATTCGACCCTGTCATGCCCAGAATCTGCCCTGTCCTAGGCACAGTTTACGTCCTTGCTCCTGATGTCCCTGAGCTCCAGACCACATCCCTGTTGGTCTCAAACCAGGGGCAGGCAGGTCCAGCTCCTTTTGGTTAGTAAACAATTTCTCATGACCTATCTTTCTATCAAATGTAATAGGAATGAACAAACATTGTAAAAATGGCCATTCTCCCAAAATTGTTATACAGATTTAATGCAATCCCAATCAAAATGCTACTAGCATATTTCACAGGTCTACAGAAATCATTCTAAAAATTCATGTAGAACCAGAAAAGACCTAGAATAGCAAAGGTAATTATGGGTAACACAAAGGCAAGGCAGAAGGCATCACAGTCCCTGACTTAAAGTTACATTACACAGCTGCTATCATAAAGTCAGCCTGGTACTTCAATAAAAATAGACCTGAAGATCAACGGAATAGATTAGAAGATACATCTATACATCTATAACTACAAAGACACTCAGCCACGTTATCTTTGACAAAGGGACCAAATACGTTCACTGGAACAAAGACAGCCTTATTAATAACTGATGCTAGAAAAACTGGCTCTCCATATGCTGTAAACTAAAACGAGACCCTTGCCTATCACCATGTACTAAACTACAGTCAAAATGGATCAGAGATCTCAATATTAAAACAGAAACACTAAATCTGCTAGAAGACAGAGTAGGTAGAAATCTTGAAGGTAGTGAAGAGAATTCAACAAAAATCAAACAGCATGGGAAGTACTTCCCAGAATCAATAACTGAGATCTCTTCAAAAAGAAATCTCAAACAAAGTACAAAGAACCATGAATGTTAAAAAAAAAAATCTTAATCAACAGTTCCTCAGACAAAGGACTTCTGTCTAGAGCAGAAGGAACTTAAAAATCAGACCCCCGAAATACAAAGGCATCCAAAAATGGGCATCTGACATGAATACACACTTCTCAGATGAAGAAATACAAACGGCAAATACAGACATGAAGAAATGCTCAGCATCATTGGTCATTAGAGAAATGCAAATGAAAACCTGAGATTTCATCTCACTCACATCCTGAAAGAATGGCCAGGATCAAGAAAACTATCAACAACAAATCCTGGAGAGGCTGTGTGGAAAAGGAACTCTCCTGCACTGTTGCTGGGAGGTGTAGACTGGTGCAACTCTGTGGAGGTCAGATTGGAGGTTTCTCCAAAAGCTGGGATTGGAAGTCCCATTTGAACCAGCTATTCCACTTCTGGGCATATTAAAGAAGAACTGAAAACATGATATCACGGTGATATCTTTGCACCCATGTTCATAGCAGTACAATTTGTAATAGCCAGATATTGGAAATAACCTGAATGCCCATCAACTGAGCAATAGGTAAAAAGATGAGATACTTTTTTACAGTGGAATCCTACGCAGCTCTAAAGAATGATCACATTGAGATTTTTATAGGTAAATGGATGCAACTGGAGACCATACTCATAAGGGAAATAAATCAAAATCACATAAATACTATATTGTCTCCCTAGTGTAAAAAATGGTAAGATACAAAATCACAGCAAATTCTGTGAAAGGTTAAGAATCTGCTCAAAAGGGAAAATATCATGTCAGGGAAAATGAGAAAAAAAAAAAGGAAAGAAAAGCACAATATATATAAATTTGTATAAACCCACTTAAGATAACTAAGATGATTGTGCTGCAAGTTCTACTAGTTCTTGGGACAAAACAGTTAACACTCATAGGATTGGATCACTTTTGGCTGTTTATGTCTGGTGATCTGAAGAACTCTTTTGAAGATCCCTATGTAAAATAGTTCTGTTCTTACCACCTTGTTTTGAAGGACTATATCATCATTGTTTTAGGTATTTTGCTATTGTGGTCTTTTTTGTATCTTGTTTTTCTAGTATTTCGTTGTTTTGCTTTTCCCTTTCAAACAGAAAGATAGGTGTATATGTAAAGGCTTATACATGCCTAGAACTTCTCCCTAACAGTTCATGAGCATCGATTGTATTGCGTGTGATGAAATAAACAGCTACGTTGAAGAAAAAGAGCTGATTCCCGATCATCATGCTCTGAAATCCAGTAATGCTTTATTCTTTGTTCGGAGTGGCTTTAGTCCATTTTGTACTATTTAACTTCAACATACATGACGGTATGACAGCTATTTTGGAGAGAACAAGAGACATTATGGCAGCCATTGTTGATTTTCCTATTGTCTGGTTTTGAAGGCCTATAATGTCTTCATTATTAGGTTGTGATCTGTTTTATATTATTTTGTTTTGTATGAATTCATTGTGTGTGAAATATAGAAAACTATTTAGAAGAAAGCTACAGATATTATGGTAGCCCACTGGTGATGTCCTGTTGTTTTGCTTGGAAATCTATGCCACTTAGATTGTTTTCTTCTGATCTGCTTTGTTCTGTTTTATTTTACTGTCTTTAAATTTCTAAAAAATTTTTAAACATTCTTTGCTAGAACCTGCCATTATTCTGATACAAAACAAGATAAACCTCCACACAACAACTACAAGACGAAAACTACAGGCCAATCTCTTTAATGAACATAGATGCAAAATTCCTCAGAAATATCCAGGCAACCTTCTGTGTAATTATCAAAATGATCACATACCTTAATCAAGTTTACATCCCAGGGATAGAAGGATGTTTTGACCTATGAAATCAATAAATGTAATACACTACATAAAGAGATATCAGGAAAAACATCATACCATCATCTCAATAGATGCAGAAAAAGCTTTTGACAAAATCCATCCATTCATATTAAAAACGCTGATGAAAATAGCTATAAAAGGACATTATCTCAATCTGATAAAAGCCATGAGGACAAGCCAACAGCCAGAATCATACTAAATAGAGAGCAACAAATGAGGAAAAGTTCCTCCAAAAGTCTCCAAGCAAAGTCAAAATATAGCAGCAAAATATACAAAAGTCAGTAGTGTTCTTGTAGACCGGTAACGAACCAATTGAGAAATGAATTAAGA